CTGCTCCTCCGACCAATCACGGTTGCCGACGCATAGGTCCCGCCCTCCGGCCGCTAGGCGGCCGCAAGAGAAGGCGGGGGGAATGGTGTGAGAAAGTGACGCGGCGTGGCCAGAGGGCAGCGCGCCAATGAGAACGCGGCAGAGGAAGCGGGCGCTCAATGGGAGCCGAGCGCAGCGCGCGGACAGCCAATGAGATCGCGCTGCCGACCGCGGGTGAGAGTAGGACGGCTGCCGGTCCCCGGCAAGGCGAGGAGCCTGTTGCCTGGCAACGGGGCGAGGCCCGCCGGGCCCGGCGAGAGCGGCTTTCCCGCTCGTGTCGCGTCGTGTCACTTGTGTCACCTGGGCCTGGCCCCGTGAGGCGGGAGCCGCAGAAAGGCCGCGAAGCTGGGTCTGGGGGCGGCCCCGGGCCGGCACGCCGCACCCCGGTTCGGGAGCGTGGAGAGTGCCGAGCCGCCTCTGAGGCGGCGGTCGCAGCCGGCCGGTGAGCGGGGCCGCGCGGGGGTTTCATTGCTGCCCCTCGCTGCGCAAGTCCCCGCAGGCCTCCTCCCTGCCAGCTCTGCGAGTACGAGTGTTGCAAATGGGAAATGGCTCGATAAAAGTCGCATACAGATTTTAAGACCTGGACACGCTGGTTGTAAAACAACGAGGGAGTACACTCCCTTGGCAGCTGGTGATTGCTGCAACGAGCAGAAGGCAGTACCTGGCTCTCCTGACACATCGCATCACCCGGCCCAGTGATTTCTGCCATCACACGGGCAGGTGGAAACTGTGTGAAAGCACGGGGAAAGATCTCATGGAGAGCCTTAGCGCCTGTCTTGTTTCTTTGGGTCTTGTAACTGTTCTGTAATCATCATGTAGAAACAGAGATTTGTCACAAATCTTCACAGTGCAAGAATTGAGAAATACTACTGAGAAACTGAGTTTTGTTTGCACTTGTTACTCTGCAGTTTTCTGACAAACTTGCGTCAGTTGGTGTACAATCCAGTACCATCTGCAAACCTGAAAGAACATGGTGACAAAATGCAAACCTGATGGGCCATGATGTAATTATGTCATATGAACACACTGTACTTTCCATGCCCATAGACCAAACAGAAGTAGTGTCAGAAAGTTCAATGTTGCCTTGTTCAAAATGGGTTGCTAATGCCAGCCTGTCATGTACCTCAGCGGCAGAATGTTTCCTCGCATGGTTCTTTGGAGCCATGGAGCAAGACATAGTGTTGAATTGGAAAGATTGTACGTCAGGACTGCAAGCACACCCAGGGGCTTTGCAAACCTTCCCCACCACCTTAGTTTAGCTGTCTGTGCAAGGCCGGCTCCAACAGCTCGTACCCTTGTAAGGGACTGCCCAGAGAAGAGGTATGTGGCAGGGAGCTGTGAGAAGCCTTCTTACTTACCTTTCCCCTTCATTCCAGAGCTGCTACATCCCTTACTGCTTCTGACCCCTTGGCTTGACTTCTGAGCTGGCCCTTAAACCCACCCCACCACAGCAGACTCATCTGGAAATCTGGACTCCTGGCTGACCCACTTGCTGCCACTGGCTCTGCCCCTCTCTTCTGTTTGGGTGCTATGATAGTGTGCCTTTGCCAGCAAGGCCAGTGCCCCACTCTCCTTGTCACACTCAGCTCCTGGCCCTTCTGCCCTTTAAGGGCAGCCTTTCTGCACTGCTTCCTGACAGCTTAACTGTGCTTGCCTGCAAGCTTGTTGTTGCTTGGGTTTTTTTTAGTTATCATTTTTTGTTTGATAAAATTGTTGATAAATTGTGTGTTGTCAACAACATATGCAGGTGTAAATAGCAATCTTGTGAATTTTATTAAATCTATACATATCTAATCAAGAAAAAGTGCCAAAATGACTACGTAGTTTGTTTAGATAATCCGTATTACTGCCTTCTTTTCCATGATGCAGGATTATGAATTACTTTCCACCATCTTTTGTATTTACTTTCCATGTTGTAGAAGATAGAATGACGTAGACATGCACAACATCATTACTATTGATCTAAAAGAATGTATTTGCAGCAAAAATAAAAAGATCAGCTACCTGAAGCCAACAGAATTATAACCACGTTCTCCTACTGTGACTGTAGAAAAGCACATTTCAAGATTACACCTTACAAACGATAAGAGAAAGCCAGTTGCTGGATTTTCAGAATTTTAAAACAGAATCTGTAGATGTAATTCAGTCCTACTTTTAAAAATAATTTTAAAAACGTTAAATTCAGGGACCATGTTTAATCTATACTGGTAAAAGCAATGTATTTGTCTCCTAAGGATGTTTCTGGATCAAAGTGCAGATTTAAATTTACATCAAGTTCAGATGACCTCCTCTTGCAGACTGGTTTGATGACTAACTTAGTAACTTTTGGCAGCATTTAATAGCCTAAGGTTTATTACTACTTCTAATTTAATCAGTACAATTTCTTCTATAACTGTTGTCAATAGTATTATTCTTTTTCTTCAGCTTTACGAGGCTTCAGATCTGATTATCCTATCATTGGGTGTATGTATGGTAATTCTTATAAAACACTGCTATTATCTCTGCAAGAAAGGATCTGCTCTTGCAGTGGAATTGGCTACAGTCATTTTATATGGATTTCTCAAAGAGATTGCAGTAAGAATAGTAAAGTTGTTGGTGGAACTTGTTCTAGATCTCTTAGGTAATTAATTATACTCATCTACCAATTTATTCTCCAGACATGTGATTGCCACCGTTTTCACCCCTGCTGGTGAGAATGCAAGTCATTCTCCTTTTATGACCGAAGAAACAATGATATTTTCAATAGGGACTGTCATAGAGACTGCTTTTGGTATGTTCGGAGTAACACGCCAGAATGAATGCTGCACACTGTCATAGTAGCCACAGAATGGGAAACCTAACAAACAAGAAGTCATTTAGTAAAGATGCTATATTACCAAAGAAACCTACAGTAACTCAGAAGAACCATGTAGCAGCAACATGCAAGGATGTTGGCAGGGAGAGGACAAACGCTTCCTTTTCCTCCCATTCATCATTCGAGTGTATTTTGACAGGAGTTTGGAGTTGAGTCTCTTACCATTTTTCACTTATGCAGAAGTAGGACCTCCCAAGGAAGGAAGCATGTGTGTTCTCTGATGATTCTCCTCCTGGTTTTAGGTCAGTGTATCAAATTTAGGGTTCTGGTTTTGTCTCAAAAGCTGTCTCCCAACAACTTCTTTACTTCTGTTATTTCTGGAAATTCTTAGGCAGTCATTCCTTGGTAGCTTTTTTTTTTAAGCTTCCTAGAGAGACAGCCTATTATGTTAGTTTAATTACTTAAAATAAATGAACAGCCAGATACTAAGGATGTTTCTTAAAACTTGGAATTTCCAAGAATATTAAATGAATCATAAGCCCATTTTGAATGGAATTCAATGGAAACCAGACTTCTAAGTCACTAAAATATTCAGTGCATTCAGAAGCAACTGGCTGCATCTTTGGGTACCTGAATTAATTGAAAAGATAGCTTAAACTAGCATTTTGGGGAAGACAAACTCATGTGCTGTAGTGACATGTTCTGCAAAACACAACGTTGAGATGACTTTACTGGAAAAAAAAATTGATTTTATTTTGTTGCCAAGTACAAAATAGCAAAGGTCAAAAATAACACTCAAGTACAGAGGGTGTGACATCTCTTAACTGAAGGTTTGCTAGCTGGATGGTTTTTTATGTTATTTGTGTGTCAGGATTCAGGAATAAACCTACTCTACTAGAGAGTGGATCTTCAAAGTGTTGCCTTGATATTTTATATACCAATGTTATGGAAAGCTTTTTACATTGAATGATTTGTAGAAATTATTCCTAATTTCAGTTTCCAAAAGAATGCAAAGGAACCCAGCCAAAATACACTTGTCAGCTTGGAGATGACTTCTACCTTCTCGTAATCTCTCTATTTGATCTAAATTATCCATAAGAACCTTATATGAGATAATGAACACTCTAAAGAACTGAAAGATATAAACAAAACTATCAAAGTCTGTCTTTTAAAGTAGCTTGATAAAGGCAAGAATTGTAATTGCATTTAAGTTGCATATCTCTCTGGGTCTTAAAATATCTGTGGCACTGCAGCAATTTCAGTTATCAAAAACTACAGAACTACAGTTATATCCCAATTTGCTGTTTTTCTGAATATGCTGAATATCTATGATAGAACAGTCATGGAAATTAGAGTACAGACAGTTCTTTAGTCCATACTTAGGTAAAGCCCACATGCACTAAAACCACTGGTTGTGTTGATGGAAAGAATATGAGGAGCTGAGACATCGTCATCAGCCCTCCTGGAAATCTGTTACTCAAGAGAGAAGAATGAAGGTAAAATTTGGAATCATTAGAGCACGAGGAAGAAAAGAAATTGACAAAACAGTGTAATATGTTTGCAGCAATTTAGTATTCATGAGAGTCTGCTGACCTGGCCCCATTAGGTTTGGATTCTAATACACATGTGCTGTGTACATATGACATGCACTTAGAGCAGCATCAGGACAGAAATGAAATGGCTAAATCAAGCATCATTTCAGTTTGTATCATCCAGGCCACCCCATCGTGCAGCACAAGGCAGTGGGGACGAAGAACTCCTGTGTATGATCAGAATGTTCTCCTACTCCTGGCAGCAGGGTGGAGCTGTGCCAGTACACAGTATTCCCCAGAAACTGAAAGAAGAGTTGCCTCATCTCTGTTAGGACACTGTTGGCTCATCAGAGATTATAATTATGCTTCTTGTTGTCTTTTATCTGTTTTGGAAAGAGTTCCTTTCATCAGATATGTATCTGTAGACATATGCTATCCATTCTCTAGTAACCTTGATATAGATGTTCATCTTTGCTTTATTTAGAGGATTTACAGATTGTTCTGTCTACTGTCATTTGCCAAGCATTCTCCCATGTTTGCAGTATGAAGTTAGACATAAAATGAAAAAAAAACAAATACTAGAGATAACTCTGAGGAACTAATTTATCAAATGCAGTAAAGAAGAGGGAATGAAATGAACAAAAGCAATAGGGATTATCTTTACTGCATTGCTTTGGATGGTGTTTCCAGTGATAACAATGGCTGAGAGCAGGAAGTGTTTGGAATAGGCAAAGAATGTGTAGGCCATCATAGAGTAGTATCTGGAAAGGTATCTGTAAGACTAGTTAAGAAAAAAAATCATAGTTAATGACTGAAAGAGTAGAAACAAAAGAGGCAACAGCACAAAGGTATTGCAGAAAAAAAAAGATGCCAGTAGGGACAATAAAGGAGCTTAAATGAATGGAGCACTGAGAAGGAATATTGGCACGTCAAGTAAAAATCAAGGGAGGTAGCAATGAAAACAGAGTTGGAGAGGGGAGGATTTAAGTGCATCCATAGATTTGGAGGGACAGCAGAGCACTTGCTACAAGACACTTTCAGGAATACCATTTTGCTGTTTTGTTTGTAGTTGGCCCAACATTATTCTTGTTTACAGGTGATGGTTCGTCTAGCACACAGATATTTGAAAGGTCATTTTAATGGTGTAATCATCCATCCTTGATGCAGTCTGGTAACTTTGTTCACAGTTCTGTATGCCACAGGTACCTTCATTATGGGGCTTGCTTCTTGTTACTGTTTATTCTCTTCTTTTTTTCAATGTTTTGGTTCTTCTCTGTTTTCTTCCATGATGTCTTTTTCTGGGGATCTTGTGTTTATTCTTCTTCATCCATTTTTTAAGTCTTTTAATCCGTGGGCTTACACAGAACTTTCTGCCTTCTATATGGAGGCTGACAGAGCAAAAATCAGTTAGAGGAAAAGCGTAAACAAAACAAAACAACAAAAATCTATTATACTTATCATTCAAATATAAAATCATCATCAAAATGCTTAATCTTATCATCACTTTGGTTCTGTCTGGTGTCAGATACAGTAAATGTTGGTATCTAAGGTTTTCATAACTATAGTATCTTTCAAAATCTGAAAAAAGAATGTTCCCATTTCAGTGGCTCTGAAGAGAACCACAGTGCAAACCAGTACATTTTCATTGCCAAAAAATAAGTAGAAGACTTTACTATTACTACTGTGATGATTATCCAGCAAATGTAAATGTCTAGAAATAAATATGTCCAGGATGTGTTTCAAATTTATCATTTTTACATAAACACTGTGATACTGTACTAGCAAAAAAAAAAAGTAAATTAATTATAAACAGCTTATGTGTAAATGTGAGGTAATTAATATAATCAAGAATTGGAAAAATAAAATGGAGAATGAAAATGCATAGTTCTTTTTCAGTTCTAAAAGTAAAGCAAGTGTCAAAGTTATTACAGACTGAATAGTAATATTATTGTTGAAATGGAAATTGAATGTTAGCAGTCTTGAATTCAAATAGCACAAGGGCGGGCAAATCTTAAACCACTCACAATCTTGTTTTTCATTAAATTTTTGCTATCCATCAAAGATTCTATTGGTTTTGATGATGTCTAATAGCTTTAACTTCATAGTACCCCTTTCACAGTGAAGCACACAAAGCAACTCTTACATAACAGCATGTAGGTGGCACAGGCCATCATGTTTCTGGACTTCAAATCTCTCCACTCTTTGGAGAATTCCTTTAGGAATTTCTTCTGAGATTTTCGTGCAACAGTTGAAGGCCTCAGGAAATAAAGCTAGAAAGTAATAACAAAGTTAGAAATTGCATAGATATGAAGGGACAACTCATAGCTGGACTGTATCACAGAATAGTTGAAGTTGTAAGGGATGTCTTGAGGTCATCTGGCCCGACTTCCCTGCTCAAGCAGCAACAACTAAGGCAAATTGCCCAGGACTGTACCCAGTTGTTTTGAGTATCTCCACAGGTAGGAGACTCCACAGTTTCTCTGAAAACCTGTTCCAGTCTTTGACTGTCCTCACAGTAATAAAATGATTTATTTTGTTCAGATTGAATTTCATGTGTTTTAATTTGTAACCATTGCCTCTTGTTTTGACTTGGAAAAACTTGGCTCCTTTGCCTTCTTTCCCTCTCGTCAGGCATTCATGCACACTGCTGAGATCCTCCTTTCAGAAATACTTTCCTGGAAGATTTTTTCCATCCCTTTCTGAGGGACTGAGGTGACTTTGACCAGCCTGTAATTCCTTGGATCATCATTCTTGACCTTCTTGAAGAAAGGAAAGATATTTTCTCTCTTTCAGTGTTCAAGAACTTCTCCTGGTCATTATGGCTGTTCAAAGACAATCGACAGTGGCCTTGCACTGCTATCAGCCAGCTCCCTCAGCACTCACCAGTGACGCACCCTGTCAGTCCACAGGGCCTCACGTCCGTTTGTTTTAAGTGGGCTCTCTAGCCTGATACTCCTCCACTGAGGATAACTCTTCAGTACTCCTGTGTTTCCCTCTGGTTGCAGAGGCCTGGATTTCTGAAGGCCAGTTCGATCATAAAAAATGAGGAAAAGAAGGTACGGGGTATCTTGGTCTTTTCCATGTCATTTAACATCTATAGCCCTGCCCTCATTCAGTAGTAGGCCCATGGTTTCCTTTATCTTCATTTTGCTATTTAAGTACTTTTGAATTCTTTCTTGTTGCATGTTATAACCCTTGTTAGAGTTAGACCCAGGCCAGCACTGGTCTTTGGTCCCTTTTCCTGCATGATTCTCTTCTCCTTTCTCATCATTTGCCCCTGCTTCCTCCCCTTGTACACATCCTTTTTATACCTGTGCTCCTTTACACTGTGCTCATCCTTATAGGCCTCTGCTTGGCTTTTGGTTTATTGGGATGGACCTTCTTTTAGCCTGGAGGGGGTGATTCTTGAATATCAGTCAGCTCACTTCAACCACTTTTCTCTCTCAGATCATGTTCTGTGGGATTCTTTCAAGCAGGTCTCTGTAGAAGAGGATATCTCATCTCCTGAACTCTAGGAGTATGGTTCTTCTTCTTGTCTCCTCCTCTCCTCCTAGTATTCTGAACCTTACCATCTCATATCAGTGCAGTCTGCCTCCAGTTTTTCTGTCTTTGGTGAGTTCTTTTTTTTTTTGTAAATACCTGGTATAGCTGAGTTCCTTGGAAATTGTCATCAATGCACTCAGATTACACTGATTTCTTATAGGTTGCTTGAGCACCTCTGTCTTATCTTTCCGGCAGGTATCAGGAATGGTTAAAGACCTCCATCTTTTTCTCCATCAAGGGCCTGTGAACCTGAGGCTTTTTCCAGTTGTTTGAAGAAGACCTCATCTCCTTCTTGCTGACTGGGAGGTCTACAACAGGTATTCACTACAGTGTCACCCATGTTGCCTCCCACTAATCCAAAGCATAAGCTCTCTGTTGGCTTATCATCTATTCTTAGACAGAGCTCTGCGCATTCCTGCTGCTCTCTCACAGGAAGAGCAACTCTTCCTCCCTACTTTCTGGGAATGGAAGATCACTGACACATGAAGTTTTCGGGAATGTAGCTTAAAAGCTCTGCCTTGTAAAGTGGAATCATCCCCATTATCTGATGTCTTAGAAATTATTAATGCTGTTACTGGTTTTTTGTTTATTTCTCCACCCCTTCAGCCCCTCCAGGACTTGTGGGTTCATGTCTGAATGCGTCTCTGCTAGAGAGTGATTTGCAGTTTTCCTGCTTTATAAATACCACTGTAAAAAAAATAATTTCCAAGTCACATCCATAACTCGAGAATCTTTGGTGGCAAGTAGTAATGTTTTGGTGTTTGATTTTTTTTCTGCACTAGGGATTTATCTAGGTTGTGATAGTCTTGTGATCAAACCCATGCTTCAAGGTGAGCACAAGGACTTCTCTGTCCCAGTCAACGAATCAACAGCGTGGGTGCAGTGGGGAGTTGGAATTTTTTTTTCTTGGCCTGTAAATCATGCTGTTCTTAAGTAACCATTTACCATTGGAGTGCAAGAGTGATGGAGCAAGGCAAGAATAAGCAGGAAAATATATTTTGAGTTGTTCCTGTAAGCAGGAGATTAAAAATCTCCTCAAAACATTTCTTGTAATAAAGAAGATTGTATGCACTGGTTCTTATAGAACTCAGGATGAGAGCTGGGATAACAGAAGATGCCAGCAGAGGCGCAACACTGGGCTGGAGCAGCTGGCAGTGTAGCAGGAGTCACCAAAGACCAGCCATGCTATGTGCCACAGCTTTCGGGAGATTTTGTACCCGGTGTGGTAGATGACAGCCCAGGGAGTCACAGAGGAGAGTGAAGCAGTTGCCTTTTCAGCAACCTGCAGAGAAGGACTATACATAATCATGTGGTACAGAAGAGTGAATTAAATTTTGTGTTACCTCCATTATTTCCCTGATGTCCCTTTCTCTTCTCGCTTTAATAGCACACTGTGTGTGTAGCCAATTAATTTCTATTTGCAGATGGAAATTCAGTTCACTGAACACCACCACATTTAAATTTTTTGTGGGTGATTGAGGTGTGAACATTTGTTGTTGCCAGTGCTTGCAAAAGGGTTATAGGAAAAAAGCTCAGGAAAGGATAATTGTATCCTGAACACTCTCTGAGCTCTACTCCTCTGCTTCTGTGGGGTCTGGCAAATTGAGTCCCTCAGCAAGGCCAGCACTGACAGCTGCTTACAGTGTGTGGGGCACTACGGAAGGTCTGAGGGTGAGCCAGCTATCTCCTGGCCTCATGTTCAGCTGTTTTCTCTGCTTCATGGCCATCATCTCTTGTCGACATTTGTATACTTTGTGTACTTAGAAGTATCACTTGTTTTGTTCCACAGATCTGGACTGAATTGCACTGGCCTTTGCACACTGTGTAACTGAAAATTAAGAAATTATTTTTATATTAATTTAAATCTATATTCGTTTTATTATATTAATTTTATATCTATGTAAACTCGTATGAAAAAATTAAAGCAAAGTTCTTGACGTCTTCAGATGAGCTTGTGAATATCTCCCTGTCCATGACATCACCCTTTTACAAGACACTTGAAAACTGCAGAAAGGTGTTTGTATTGCATCTTTAACAATCACTTATGTAACCAGAGTAGCAATTTTAGAATGAACTCAATTACCCGATGCTCAGTCAATCTTTGAACTGGAGCATTAAATCCCTCCAACTAATGCAACTATGCAAAAAAACCTGTGCCTTTAAATGTGAAAGCACACAACAAACTGCTTGTGAAGCTGATGAATACATCACCAGGAAGCAGAATGAAATTGTTTTGTAAAATATGAATGAGGGAGTGCTTATGTCCACCTCTCACAGAGGCTAAGAACGTGTCAGTTAACTTTCTGTGGAGGTATGTGCTTAGGATTTGTATGGGTGCTTGCCTTGAGAAATTCCAGTTTGCACTAACTTGTTTTTTTGACTGAAAAATAAAATTTACTTTTAAATAAAACATTATATATTCATTGTTGTTGTTCTGTGGATGATCTGCAGTTACAATATGCCAAATAGACACTAAGTATCCATCTCTGAATTGCAGATAAATACACATTATCAGAGCTTTTTCATCAGACATGTAAACGTCATCTGCAATCTTGTGCTGGCAGAGACACGATGACTTCGAAAATGAGTCATTCTGAGTCAGGGTACGTTTACCTTCTGCTAAACAGGAAGAACGCTCAGGGCAGCGGCTCAGGGAATTCCCCTGCACCCCGGCAGCAGGGACATCCTCTCCCGCAGTGCTGGCTGCACTACAGCTCCGCTGCCTGGTCCATTATTACTATAACTGTGCTCTGAACCTGTAAGTGGGTGGGAACGAGGTGATAATAAATAAAACTAATGAATTCAGCCCAACACAATACCAGAAATATGTGTGGGCATTAGCAATTAGATCAGGCTTGTTAGCTGGTCTTCACAGTGGTTAGAAGCAAAGAACTGCAGTTTTCCACCTGGAAGCTGGCCTGGCCTTTTATTTGCCCTTCCAACTCCATGGAGATTTTTCCCAGTGCTGCCCATTTCACTTGTCTCTATGCCTAGGCAACACAATCAGAAATCCACAGCTGCTTACCAGAACTGTATAGACCTGCTATCTGGTATAGAGCCTTCTTACTCAGACATCTAAAGGAGCTTTCTGTGTTGCTGGATGGCAAGACCAAGATTAGTGATGAATCTTGAGACAGGTCCGTGCAGGGATCGCTCTGCTGCTATTCAGCAGCTTTGGTGTTTGTTCCTCAGCAACACTCACCAGGAAAATAAATTATTGCTTTTAAAATATTTTGTTTCCTATTTTCTGCAGCATCTCAATCCTTTGATCTTGCAGAAATGTCCACTGGAGCGAGTTAAGCACCACAACTGAGGGCAAGCACAAGTAACTGGAAAACACCTTCGCTCACCCCAGTTTCTCTCTTAAAGATGCCTAGGTATGGTGTCCTTTTCAGATGGGTACTCTGTCACTGTGCCTTATGGCATACATTATCACTCATCTTTACATTATACTGGATTTATTTAATATGCTGTGTATAGCTTTTCCAATTTCAGATGAAGTGGAAAAAAAGGAAAGCTTTGCCTTTTGAGTGAAAATAATGTGTTTAGCACCTTTGAATAGAGGGGAAAAAAAAACCACCTTGATTTTTCCTTAAAATAAAAAAGAAAATAAGAGAGAAAATGTCTGAAATTCTGAATTACTTTGAAAAAGTCCTTGCTTTTCAGAGAATGCAGCATGAAAACTTAATTTCAGCTTTCCACAGTGGTCTGTTTTCTTTCAAGCCTATCAGACTTGGTAGCACTATAGTTACTTTCTTAAGGCTGAAAGGATCAAAAGCAGTTGGCAACTACAGATGACTGCTTTCACCTGCTCTTTTAGAGAAGTGTTTCTCCTAGATGGAAGAGATCCTCAAAGTCTGTGATATTCAGTGGGTTTTAACTGAATTGCTGTTGATTGCTAGAGAATGAACCACAGAGAATATGATGGAACAAGACCTTCGTTTTATCTGTCTTTACACTTCTGTTCATCAGTATCAAGTCTCTTTGCTAAAGCTTCCTTCCTTCCTTCCTTTCTTCTGTCCCTCCTTCCCTCCCATTTATGGAAGATGCCTGATGAAAAGCCCTCTTACTAATCCTGTAGGGGTAGCAAATGGTTATTCTGTTGGCCCCTGGCTGTAGCTTTTTTAGGCAAATAGATAGAGTTAGATTAATATTTCAATGTGTGTAGACACTGAAGGAGAAACATAGCAGTCATTGTCTCAAATAGACTTGTCCTGCAGAACACAGCAGAACGTGTATTTGCCCCATATTTTAGCTGAGGGGAATCAGCTAGAGAAAAAAAAAAAAAAAAGAGAGGAAATCAGCTGGAAATAGAGTGATGGAGTCAGTACATTCCCCAACCCTGTACTTTGTCGCAAATTTGCTTGATTTCACTTTTGCTTCCTTTAATCAAGTACAACAGGAAAATGAAAGGGCTGTAGGTGGGAACAGTAAGAAAATCATTTCTGCTCTCTGCTCCTGTATCCAACCTACCCACTTTAGACCTTTTGCAACTCTCCTCCTGGTAGGTTTCATGCCAGCAGCCAGTATTTTGACCAAGCCTTTGCTCAGCCCTGAATCCTGCTGGCAGCATGGATGAGCCCACCAGTGCTGCTGGCAGAGCCCTTGATTGTGAGCTGTGCAGTAACCCATGGGCTGCTGAGTGAGAAGACATGTGAAGATTTTCTCCTGTGTAACTAAACAGAAGGTAGGTAGTTCTTAAATTTAGGAGTGGACTAAAAGAGTGCAGCAAAGATACATATAGGTATTAAGCAGCATGGATTCTTTCAGCATACCATGTGGTCAGACAGATAGCTTGTCTTGCATGGTGAAATCCATAAACCTGGGGCACTTTCTGTATCTATGCTGAATCTGCTGCTAATATGCCTCAAATTTGTTGTGAATTGATGTAGCTTTGCATTGATTGCACAACTCCTGGAATTATTAGTAGCAGTCATTAGTGTATCCTAAGGGAATTCTTTTGTGGTTGCAAAGTAGGCTTTATATATCCACAAAACAAACAAACAAACAAACAAACAAACAAAAAAGAACAACCACAAAACAAACAAACAAACAAAAACAGACCAAAAAAAAAAACCAAAAAAAAACAAAAAAAAACCCTCACACTGATTATCTGGATTAAAGCCTTGCTTAGTCAGAGCATGATAGGTATGAGAATGCCCCAGTGCCTGTAAAGACATTTCTGTAGGTAACTTCATAAATTCACATAATCATTAAGGTTGGAAAAGACCTTTAAAATCATCCAGTCCAACCATCAACCCACCAACCGTTGCCCACTAAACCATGTCCCTAGGTGCCGCATCTACATTTCCTGAACACCTCCAGACCCCTTACCACTGCCACAGGGATACTACTCATGTGAAAGTTTGCTTCCCCACTTCTTTCTTTCTCCCAACGTCCTCCTTCAGCCTGGCCTTGTACACAAGGTCTTTCACAGGAAGACAACAAGCAACAGTAGCGATAACACTCTATAAAACAGATTAACAACCACAAATCTGTCTAAAACTGGAGAACTGAAAGAAGGGATAGAATACACCCAGTTCAACAGCTGAATGCCTATCGAGCATGCACCTAAAAACAAAGTATGAATATTAGTCAGTCATCCTACCCATCAACTACTGAGAAGCCCAAGAGCTCCTTGAGCTCTTCTGCATGGCATTGGGCTGCATGACAGGATCTCTCCTCAAGCAGGGATACATCTCAATGTTAACACATGAGGGCTGGCAGTGAGAGTGGTGCACTTAGGGCAAGGAGGCTACTAATGTATGCTATCCTGATCTCTGTGCTGGCTGGCTGCTTCCTCATGCTCCTGCTCCAGCTCCTACTCTTCTGCAGGAAGATGCTGGAGACCCCTGGCATGGCCAGAATTGATGACAGCCTCTTTCATACCCACATCACATCCAGACATAGTACTATAGTAGTACCATCCATACAGTACTATTTCCATGGCACCAAGCCAGCAGGCGGCTAGGTGGCACCAAAGCTGGTCCTGGGAATACAATAACAGCTTCCATTTGGCCATCGAATTGGACCTGGTCCTGGTGTAAGTCAAGGTTTAACCAAAGGTAAGGCAGATCTTTTAGTGCTTGTTTGTTCATGAAGCTACTAGAAAAAGTTTCCCTCATCTCAAGCAAACGTTGGGCTGTTTCAAGAGTTCAGTACTTCAAATAAGGTCTTTTCAGCTTAACCCAAAGCACATCAGTACCTCCTTTGCTATGGAGATGGCTCTGATCCTGGCTGACAGGTGAACAAGACAGGATGCTAGAACCCTTGGCAAACGTAGCATTGTCCTCTGTGAAAATGTGGAGGTTGCTTAACAGCTGGAAGTGAGATAAAATATGCTTTAACATACCCTTATTCTATTCTGACAGCACAAGAATGCACAAAGATAACTCACACAACTGCAAACGAGACAAGGAAGAGGGAAAGCAGAATCTTTAAAATGTAATTAAATTACATTAATAAAATAAAAATTTTGCCACAATCCTAATAAAAATCCTGCCACAATTCTACAAAAGAATCAGTGCCACTCATTCTGGCACTGCCTGGCAGGGCCACAGTTCTATCCATGGCAGGTGTGATTGGCCTCCAGGTGGCCTTCCTGGCCCCAGTTCAACAGCTATTACTGCACAGCCATGAACTGCTGACAATGAACCACGAACAACTATTCCAGGTCTGTATACATCACCCAAAATGTTTGTGTACCTGCACCACGCCACTGAAATAAATAGATGCATGCAAAGCAGCCTCAGCAGCCTGATCCATCTGCCAGCTCCAAGTGAGAAAATGTGCCTGGGCCCATACACATGCAGCTCTGCCTGTTTTTATTGCAGGTTCCACTGTTGTATGTTGCTGTTAAGCACGGAGCATGTTTGCATATACAGAAAACTAGAGGATGAAGGAATTTTCCCTGTGCCAGATAGTGAAGGAACATGCTCCAAGAAAACCCTTCCTTTGACCTGTGTATGTGCACTCCGTTGCTGTTGTGCAAGACCTGGCTGAGTGTCCAGATCATAAAATGAATGGAAAAAACTCATGAAGCCTGTGCAGGCCAGCAGGTACTGTGGCCATTTTAAAGGATTAAAAAATTAAGGTAGATCCTGTCCATGCATTGTGAAGTCAGTAATTCCTGCTCCTAATGCAGCCAGTGAGAATTGAGAAAGGTGCACTGCAAAGACTGAGTCCTCCAGAATGTGAGTTATATTTTCCAACAACATACCTTATTTTACCACGGAAAATTACAAACAAAAGGACTCAAACACAAAACTGCATAACTGTTTTGAAATGTATTTCAATAGAAATACAAGAAAACAAAAGCAAGCATTATGAGATCTCATGAACCCTCAAGACGCACAGTGAATGCAAAGTTGTGAAAACCCTCTTCTCAGTATGAGAAATAGGTTACATGGAGTTTGTCATATTGAGATCTTTGTCATCTGTGACAATCAAACTTTAGAAAGTAAGGATCGAGTTTTTTTATAACACATCCCCTCTCAAGAGGTTTGGAAAGGACTGGAGCTGAACTGGAGAGATCCCTTTAAACAAACAGAAAATCTTTGTTAAGTGTTCCCTGGAAATCACTGCTCCAAGGTACTACACCTTCAGCAATTAAAGCTCTCAGCTGCAGCATTCCTGACTGTATTCCCTGTGACAAATCACCCACATGGCTTTTCCTTCTTAAGCCATTATACAGAATCACAGAGTTCCTGTACTTTTAGGGAAACATGAAGGAAACACTCAGGTGAAACTGATACCGGCAGCTCTCTGTGGGTGGGAGAGCCGAGTTTCGCTTTTAGAACTCCTCATGCCACAGACCTCTAAGCTTACAGCTCTGATCCCAGACAGAGCTGCAAAGACTGAAGCAGACACAGCTCCAGGCAGACACCCCTTGGGAATACCCTCGTCCTCTTTTAGGAAATTAAATCACAGAAGTAGGTAAGTGCAATGGTACTTACTTGGGGATGTAATGCTCACTGCAGCCGCCAGCACAGCCAACGCAGTGACAAAGCTCACATCCATTCCTCCCGGGGCCATGGGTACACTGCAGGCAGGTGCAGGTGTTTCAGGAAATGTCCTGTGGCTCCTGTCTGCCAGGGAGTGTGGCTGCCAGGGCCCCACCCTGCAGCAGCTCGATGCTGGCACTGCTGTGCAGCAGCACTACCTACTACCTGTATCCCTGCTGTCTGTAGCCTCATGCTTGCCTTGGGCTCTCCATGCTCCCCTTGCTAGGGTTGTTCTCCAGCAGCAGAGGATGGAAACGTCTCCAGAACAAACACTTGCAGAATTAAAAAACAAAACAAAACAAAAAAACACAAAACAAGAAAGCACCTTTGCTGTTAGATACTGTGTCTGTGTAACAGCTGTGTGTGCAGCACTGTGGACAGCTGGCTGCAGCAGAAACAAGCTTAAAAGGTGGGCCGATGTGAATCTGATGAGGTTCAACACAGCCAAGTGAAAGGTGCTGCACCTGGGTCAGGACAGTCCCAGATATATGTACAGAGTGGGAGAACCCATTGAGAGCAATCTGCAGAGGATTCTGGAGTCCTGGTGGATGAAAAGCTGGAGTCACACTGAGCCAGCAGTGTGATTATGGCTGGAAGGCCAATTGTACCGTGGGCTGAGCAGAAGCAGGGTGGCCAGCAGGGAGAGGAAGGTGACCATCCCTTATGCTCTGCCCTCATGAGGCCCCCCCTGCAGTACTGCGTACAGGGGCCCCCAGAGCAAGAAAGACGTGGAGGTGTTAGATCAGGTTCAGAGAAGGCCACAGAGGTACTCAAAGACCTGGAACAATTCTCTTGTGAAGGACGATGAGGGAGTTGGGCTTGTTTAGCTTGGAGAAGAGAAGGCTCCAGAATGGCCTATCTGTGGCCTTTCAGCACTTAAAGGGAGTGTGTAAACATGAAGGAAGTCAACGTTCTACACAGTCTGATAGTGATAGGTCAAGGGGGAATGGTAGGCCCTGGCATAGGTTGCACAGAAAAGCCTGATCCCTGGAGGCATTCAAAGCCAGGTTGGATGGGAACGTGAGCAGCCTGAGCTGGTGGTTGGCAGACCTGCCTGTGGCAGAGAGCTGGAAATAGATGTTCTTTAAGGTCCCTTCCAATGCAACCATTCTGTGATTCAGAGAGGCGCAAGCTGGAGAAGCCTTGTGCCAGGCTTGAGTTGGACAGCTGTGCCTTCAGTGTGTGCATTCCCAGGGCTGCACTGCCTGTGCCCTAGCCCTTCTGACTCACTGGGGTTCTGGAGTAGTTTGGGGAAAGACGGCAAGAAAAGAACCGCAGCTGGTGTACATCCTCCATTCTTTCCCAATTTTTATCTCTGCAGCCCATTTCAGTAATTTTCCGTGCCTCAGTCTGACCTTCCGTGGGCATGGCTTTCCGTGGGGAAAAATAAAACAGTGTTTGGGGGTGCTTCTGTGAGCAGTGTCAAGAAAGGCTTTTCCTGGATCATGCAGGCAACGGGAAAGTCAGGGAAAGTTTTCTCCTCCGCTTGACACAGTTCACAGGTTCCAATCTTCCAGTGCCCGCCTCCGAATGGGGGGCTGTAACCACTGCAGCCACACTGCACCACTGCCACTGCGACCTCCTGGGGCTGAACAGCAAAACTAGCCCAGGAGGCCCTAGGCTCCCAGCCAGGCTCACCTTTGCTCCGTCTCACCACAGCACAGCAGTGCTTACTGCAGCGGTTCTTAGCTTCCGAAATCCCAGATCACAAGGTATAAGGAACTGCCAGCCTCAGAGACTTTAATCTGCACTTGAAATTTCCCAACACCAGTTTCACAATTCAGCCTAATAATAAATTAATATGGTGCAATCAAACTGATGGGCTATCATGGTTTAACTTTGTTGCTCTTGGTTCCTTCTTGATGCTCTTATCTACGGGGGCAAGAGAGCAAGGTGCCTGTAGAGCACTGTGCATTCAGATGAGAACTAGCTATGTCAAGAGGGGAAGATTACATGTGCTACTTGGAGCACAATTTCAAGGAAGTCATTTGCATTGAAATCAACAGGCTGACTCATTGTCAGTAATTAATTACAATGAAAAATCTGTTAAAAAACTCAACTGCCACTGCAGAAGCTAAAGTAGCCCACAGTTCATTCATACCTGAGCTTAGGTAATGATGAGACTGTTAACAGCATGAATGCACTTCAAGGTAGCATGAAGAGGAACAAGCTGAATAAAAAGAAACACAATGAGACAGGTGTTACTGAGGCAATATGTTAAATAAACTGCCTCAGTCAGTACGTATTAGCTTCTGTGTTCCAGCTGCTCGGCGCTGCAGCACTGGGCTACATATCCTCGAGGACAGCCAAGGCATTCACTCTGACACATGCTCTGCATGGGATCTCCAGATGCAGCTTTAAAAGGCTGGTGCAGGTTCACAGAATCTTAGAATCATGTAATTGCTTGCATTGGAAAGATCCCAGAGATAACCTGGTTCCAGTGCCTGCTCTGGGCAGGGCTACCACCTGTCCGCTCAGGCTGCCCAGGGCCCCATCCAGCCTGACCTTAAATATAGCCAGGGATGGGATATCCACAGCTTCTCTGGGCAGCAGTGCCAGTGCCTCACTGCCCTTTCAGTGAAAAATTTCCCTGACATCTAACCCAAATCTACCTTTTTTAGTTTAAAGCCATTTCACTGTGTCCTGTCACCTGCAATGAGTTCTCCCCAGAGCCTTTTCCCGGTTGAACAAGCCCAGCTGCAGTATCCTCAATAAAGCTTTCCTCTGCAGTCACATCGCACAACTTTAGCTCGTGTTTTACAACTTTATGTGCCATTTTATGTGCCAGTAATTTACAATATGAAACCTAGTAGAAAAAAGGCAAAAGGTAAGCTGAAGAAACAACTCCATTTTATGACATCGGGAAATTCAAAATAATAATAATAAAGCCAGAAAACAATAGCAAATATTTTGCTATGATTCCACTTACACAGACAACCATCCAGCACACAAATAAATACCAGGTTAGACCTGGTAGAAAATCTTTTCCCAGAATTGCACTGACATAGTTGACAGTGGCATTAGCTGCAATTACAGCTAAAGTAAAGTGGAGGGGTTTATTGACATATTGGCCTGGATTGAATTCAAATTGAAACTGCTAACCTGGAGGCAGAAGGCAGTCATTCTTCTGCCTTGAGAAATAAAGCTAATTCTTGGTTTGGTCACTTCTTAGGTTCTAACTTGTACTTGTGAGCGAAGCGTAATGTCTTACACCTTTCTCCAGTCGCTCAAGCAATCTGCCATTTCTAGCCCATTCTTTGCCCCCTCAGCCTCCATCACAGCAGTGATGGTGTGGCACAGGAAGCAGCACCTCGTGCCCTGCCCCACCAACACAGCCCAACTCCAAATCCCAAGCCCTCTGCAACACTGGAGGGAAAACCAGGACTCAGCAGCCTTCAGTCTGCTGCTGAACTCTCAGCAGAGGGGCTGATATCTGATGAAGAGTAAAGCCAGTAACTCAGTTTGTGAAACTGGGATAAATCATGTTAAAACAACTTTGGACTGCAGCTATGTTCAGTAAGATGTAATTCAAACCTTTGTTTTTGGCTTACTGATAGATCCTGTGGGTTTCTCTCTAACTTTAGAACATTTTTTTGGTTCTGTGTTCCTCAAACCTGCACACAGTGCTCAAGGTGAGGCCAGACCAACGCAGTGCAGACTGAGACAACCCCTTTCCTCACCTAGCAGCCATATCTCCTGCTCCAGGTAAATGTCCCTGATGGTAATGCTGCCCCAGCCCTGGTCCTCCTTTCTGTGCAGAGCTGAGGTATCCCATCCTCTGCTGTGGGCTGGCACTTGGGGCTCTGGCACTATTAGGCATTATATCTGGAAGTGTCTCTACTGAACTTTGCTTTGTTTTTGTAATTTTCATCCTAGGTCCAGGTCAGTGCCGGGCACCTGCCTTTGGAAAAGACTGTGATCCCCCTCCCTCCTGACCAAGCCCCCTGCCTGTTGGTGTGGCTGCTGAAGTCATTGCTGACCATGAACAGTTGAACCCTGATCTCTTTCAGCCACTGTTTGTTCTGGGAAATTAAATTTTCCCTTGTACATCATCAAAACCTAATGAGTTCAACAAGGCCAAGTGCAGGGTGCTGCAATTGGGTCGAGGCAATCCCAGATGTTTATACAAACTGATCTCCTTGAGAGCAGCCCTGAGGAGGACTTGGGGGTCCTGGTGGATGAGAAGCTGGACATAAGCAGTGTGCGCTTGGAGCCTGGAAGGCCAACTGTGTACTGGGCTGCATTAAAAAAAACAAGTGGCCAGCAGGGAGAGGGAGGTGATTGTCCCCCTCTACTCAGCTCTTGTGAGGCCCCATCTGCAGTACTGCGTCCAGGCCTGGGGCACCCAGCACAAGAAGGACAAGGATTGTTTAGCTTGGAGAAGAAAAGGCTCCAGGGTGCCTTTTCCTCATTGTGGCCTTCCAGTACTTGAAGGGAGTGTATAAACAGGATGGGGAAGGACTGTTTACATGGGTGGATTGTGACAGGACAAGGGGGTTGGTCAGGGAAAGTTTAATTTATATATGAGGAGGAAGTTTTTCACAGAGGGTGGTGATGCACTGGAACAGGTTGCCCAAGGAGACTGTGGATGCCTCATCCCTGAAGGCATTCAAGGCCAGGCTGGATGTGGCTCTGGGCAGCCTGATCTGGTGGTTGGTGACCCTGCACATAACAGGGAATTGAAACTCGATGATCTTTGTGGTCCTTTTCAACCCAGGCCATTCTATGATTCTATGATTCTATGATCATCGTGCTCTGTGTTACCTCTCCAGCATACAGCTAGCACTGGGACCTTCCTGCTGCTGTGGTGAACTCGTGCCCATGGTCACTAGCCCCCTTCTCTGAGGAGAGCTCACCCGAAACATATCCTCCCCACACCTTTCTGACTTTCCATTCCTTCTTTCTAAAAGGACACAAAAGAAATTCAGGGTGAAACTCAACAATGTGTTGTACAGGAATGCATGGGCAGTACTGTAGCAGGGTTTGTGTTGTGATATCAGCTGTCTGCTTCACTGGGAATAGAATCACAGAATCATAGCATCAAAGAATCACAGAATTGTTTGAGTT